AAATGTATTTCCATTCTTTCAACCAAGAAAACAATTAGATTTTTTTCAAGGAAAGCTACTCAATTGCTGTCATTATAATTATAAACGATAAGTAGTGCTGCTGTAAAGCCATCACTGCTAGCATCGAACTTAGTTGCTGTCACATGGTTATGTAACTCTATTTTTTCTTTCCATCAATAGGGCCCAGCAATGCATATATGCTAATAGGTGTTACCTAAGTTGTCTTTATTTTTACTTCATTAGATTGGTTATTTCATTTGAATTAATAATTATTGGAAATGACAACCTGCTATAAAAGATAAATCTGACACTGCACGTGTTTCTATAATATATCTGAACACATGCAGTCACCTGGGTTTCTCTCCAAACTGCTGCTTGAAGTGCTCTATCGTCTGGTCCAGTTCCTCCTGTGTTACAAGGTATCCACGGTCATGGCATAACTAGAAAATTTTCATAGTAACAAAATATTAGAATTGCATCCAATCTCAACATACAACCAGAATATTTACTGAAGCATCGGATTTGGCAGCCACTCGAGTGTCATTGTGTTTGCTTAAATTTGAAACATGATGGCAATAGGCGACATCTATTGCACTAATGAAGACTCGCACAAAAGTGGCAAGTATTAGATATTATAGTACAATATTAGGGGGTGGCGGAAACTTTCTGGGCCCAGATCATAGAACGAATTACCAAACTATACTAACCAACATGTTCTATTTTGCATTCAGAGCAGCATATTTTATAGCAAATATTTTGAGATAATAATTTATACATGGCATTTGTGTTTGCAGATGTTACAAAGACAACGAAAACACCAAATCTAAAACTAACGTGACACCTAAGATAAATACTTCATTGTTTACTGTCGGACTCCTCGGACTGACAAATGCAGGAGTGTGTGACTGCTAGAAAATTGTGCTATTTTGCTTGATTCCTGAGCGTGGCCAATGATATCACTGGTCATAATTTTTTTGGAAAGGGAATAAAAAAGATACAGCAAAACCACAGTTACATCAGAAACATCTGGCTCTGCCCAAACATGCGTAATCAACACCAGGGCTTACAGATAACCAGTAATGTTGCATTTGGTATTAATTCCGGAGGTCGAAAAGCATACACACACTCAACACGCGGGTGGATTTTTCGAAATTGGATTTAGAACATTTTATTACTGGGTTAGGGTTAGGGTTAGGGAATAGGCGTAGGCGACTCCCGAGACTCGTTAGTGGAGTAGGCGAGGTACGGTCCAGCATATTAGATAGTACCAGGGTACGTTCCGGTATACCGGACCATACCCAGCACAGGCACTTGGAGCGTTTCAATAAAATATAATGCTAAATAAATAGGAAATCTGTTTACTACCAAAGTCTTAATGTTTCTATACTCTCTTTCACCTATTAGTACTATTTCCGACAATTTCCTGTAAATGCCGTCTAAATGCTCATCTGTAAACACGCGCTGCCGCCATTGCTGCTGGCGCTGCACACTGACACATGAATATATAGCAGGTAGAAAAGCGTGATCGCGAAATTCGCTTGACGCGCGCTTGATTTCACACGATTACAACACAGCAAGTGCCGCAGAGTGACAGCGCTCACCTGACGGCAGGTGTTCTGATGCTAAACTCACTGGCAAACGAATCAGAATAGTAGTTACCCTCCCATACGCCCGCGTTCGCTTCTCCGTCGTTGTTAGTGTTCGGGGCGCGCGGGTACCCGGTGCGAATGGTGTCTCTCTCGATTCTTTCTCATTGTCGCTCTCTCGTCTCTTGGTGCTCTCTCTTCCCTCGGTCACCGCCGCCTCTCTCTCGTCCCTCTCGTTCTGTCGCCTTCGACTTCACACACATTCTCCTCTCTCCGTCGCTCGATCCGATCCACTCTCTGCTCTCGTCTTCTTCTTGCTCCTCTGCTTCCGCCATTCACGCTCTCCTTTCTCTTCTCTCTCTCTCTCTTTCGCTCTCTCTCATCTCGTTCGCGCGCGCTCTCTCTCTGCTCAACTCTCTCTCTCGCCCTGCTCACTCATATCATCTCTCTCGTTCCGTCTGCTCTCTCTCTCTCTCTCTCTCTCTCTCCTGTTGCTCTCTCGTCTCTCTCTCATTCTCTCTCTTGCTCTCTCTCTCTCTCTCTCTCTCTCTCTCTCTCTCTCTCTCTCGTCTCTCCTTCTCTCATCTCCTCTCTTCTCTCTGCCTCTCTTCTCTCGCTTTCTCTTCTCTCTCTCTCTCCTCTCCTCTCTCTGCTCTCTTCTCCTCTCTCCTGTTCTCTGTCTCTCTCTCTCTTCTTCTCTTCGTACTCTCGTTCGCCTTCCTTGACTCCTCTTCTATCTCTCTCTCTCTCTCGTCTCTCGTCTCTCTCTCTCTCTCCGTCTCTCGCTATTCTCTCCTCGTCTCTCTCTCTCGTTCTCGGCTCTCTCTCTCTCTCTTCTCTCTCTTTTGCTGCTCTGTCTCTTCTCTCTGGCTCTCTCTCTCCTCTCGTCTCTCGTCTCTCTCTCGCGTCTCTCCTTCTCTCTCTTCGCTCTTCTCTCTCTCCTCTCTCTCCTCGTCGTTCTTCTCTCTCTCCTCTTCTCTCCGTCTCGTCTCTCTCTCTCTCGTCTCATCTCTCTTCTGCTCTCTCTCTCGTCTCGTCATCTCTCTCGGTCTTTCTCTCTCTCTTCTCTGCTCCTCTCTCTCGTCTCTCTCTCTCTCTCGTCGTCTCTGCTCTGTGGTTCTTCTCTGATCTCTCTCAGTCTCTGCTGGCTCTCTGTCTGGTGCTCCTCATCTTCTCTCTCCTTGCGTGCTCTCTCTCGTCTCTCGTACCTCGCTCTCTTCTGCTCGTTCTCTCTCTCTCTCTCTCTCTCTCTCTCTCTCTCTCTCTCCTCTCTCTCTCTCTCTCTCTCTGCTCTCTCTCTCTCTCTCTCTCTCTCTCTGCTCGTCTCTCTCTCTCCTCTCTCCTCGTTCTCTCTTCTCTCTTCTTCTCATCATCTCTCTCTCTCTCTCTCTCTCTCTTCTCTTCTCTCTCTCTCATCGTCTCTTCTCTCTCTCTTCATCTCTTCCTCTCTTCTCTCTCTCTCTCTCTCTCTCTCTCTCTCTCTCCTCTCTCTCTCTCTCTCTCTCTCTCTCTGCTCTCTCTCTCTGCTCTCTTCTCTCTCTCTCTCTTCTCTCTCGTCTCTCTCTGTCTCTCTCTCTCTCTCTGCTCTCTCTCTCTCTACTCTCTCTCTCTCTTCTCTCTCTCTCTCTCTCTCCTTCTCTCTCTCTCTCTCTCTCTTGCTCTCTCTCGCTTTCCGTCTCGTCTCTATCTCTCGCGCTCTCTCTCCTTCATCTCGCTTCTCTCTTTTCCCTATTTGCCTCCCTCTGGCCGTGCCTGCTGCCTGCCTGCCTACTACCGGTAACCGCCTGCCTGCTGCTGCTATGCCTTGGCAGGCGGGCAGTAGTTGGCCAGACGTTACCGTTACAGGTAGTTTGACGGGGCGCGTGCCGTCGCTGTTCTAACGGGCATGGTCACTAAACCGCCTCGTCCTCCTACGCGCAATTGCTCTGTAGTTGTTTTCGGTGACTATGCGTCGCGCGAGACAAGTATATCATATATGTGTGTTGGCAGTGCGTGGATGTGTTAGGAATCATAATCTGGGGAGTGTTAGGAATCCAAATTCATGCATGTGTTCATCCTCGTCTTTCCTCTCTCTCTCTTACTCTCTCTCGCTCTCTCTCTCGGAGGCGCCCGGTGGGCCTCTTTCTACTCTCTCACGCTCCCTCTACTCTTCTCTTCACTGCTCGTTCCCTCGCTCTCTCTCGTCCCTCTCTCTCGATTTTCTCTCTTGGCTCGAGGCGGATTAGCGCCTTGACAGACGCAGGCTGTG